CAGCAGGAAGACTGAGATAAGGAAGAAAGCAATTTCTCATTCTTTGCCAGACCTGTGTTGGTTTAAGAAAATATTGATGGAGGTGCTTTTTGGCTTTTTCCTACCTTTTTCAGTCCCTTTTAGTCTGATCAGACAAAACCTGGTTTCACAAAGAGGTTAAGAGTTTTGGACTCAAGTGGATGTATTATCATGTTGTGGTTCTATCATTTACTAGCTATGTGGTATTCAACGTATTTCTAAGCCTTTCTTGTTCTCAGATCAGCCATCTGTTAAATGAGAAGTCATAAAAACTTTCTATCACATCTTGATGAATACTGCAGGAAATAACATAAGTCATTTTCTTAGAATATTCTCTGGCACCTAGTAGTCACTATCTTCCACTCTATGGGAAAGCCCATTTATAGGCTAGGGATCTCCCTTACTGTCTGTCTGATTCAATGTTTTCACATAGACACTGGGAAGGAAGATTTATGGTCTCCACAACACTTATCTCCACAGGGTGTGTCATAGGAGATGGCTTTTTTTTTTTTTGAGAGCTTTTTTTTTTTTTTTTCACTATAGGGCGCGTGTGCTCGCCAGACAGAGAGAGACAGAGAGACAGAAAGCGAGAAATCACCCCCCAGGGGGATGGCCATGCCACAATCCCTTCTCCTCCATTCTCCTCTTGGGATCTTGGGCATGCACGCACACGTGCCCGGCGTGAGTTTTAAGCCACCGGGTCTGGGATGCGAACCGTGGTCGACTACGTGGGAGTCCAGCGACATAGCCAGTACGCTAACTGCTGGTCCCAGGAGATGGCTTTTGAGAGTTAAAGTTTCATAGCTTTAAGACACAGATATGTTGCTTATAATACCTTTCTTTAGATTAAGATTAAAAGTTCTGGGGCAATCTTATGGCCTAGTGGTTAAGGGAGCCAGATTCAACATGGCCAACCATGGTTTGAGTCCTGGACCTGGTGGCTTTATAAAGAAGGCAGGCACATGTGCATATGTACCCCAAATTCTGACTGGTTGGAAAAAATGGAGGAGAAAGGATTGTGGCATGACCACACCCAGTCGAGCGCAGGGAGTACTTTCTCCCTCTCTCTCTCTGTCTCTTTATCTGGCAAGTGCACACACTCTCTGGCAAATTAAAAAAAAAGAAAAGAATATCCACATCTGGGAAAGTTGATGTTACTTACCAAGAAAATATGATCTGTAAGTTAAAAGACATATAAGATACATCAAACAAATGCTATGTATATTGATTTTTTTTGGATTCCAATTTGAACAAAATAATTTGTTTAGATGAATACTCTTCTTTCTCCTTAGAAATGTTTGCTATTTCCTATAATGCAAAGTTTATTAAAATGTGTCTCTGGGACTAGATTGGAAGAAAGGAAAAAAAGTGAAAAACAAAAGTTGAGTCTCCGCCTTTGAGCTATTCCAGAATGAACCCAACTGAGTGTCAAGTTTTATCTCTTGAGGCAAACCTAGGTCCCCAGAAAATACAGGATGGTCACATACTTGCCATTGAACACAGCATTGTTGATCCAACGCCACCTTTTCTCTGCCTGCTGATACATTAAGCCAATAAAATACTTCTCAGCTCCAGTTATGACTTGAAGAAACTTCTAGAAATTAAAATAAATGAACAGTTTAAATGCAAGACAGTAAGCCATAATTATCTGATTCTGTAAACAATGAAGTCTAGTAGGTAACTCTGGGACTGGCTCTTGCTTGTACTCACTGTTAACCCTAAAGATGCAGGAATCTGAATCACCTGGAGGTCTTGCTAAAACATAGATCTCTAGGCTTCTGGTTCAGATCACACATTTATATTCCTAAGGAATGTCTAGGAGATGCTGGTGTTGCTGTCCAGAGATCACACTATGAAAATGAAGGGGAGGGGGACTATTCAATTTGAAACAGCATAATTTCAAATATACTTTTAAAATTTGGAATGCCTCTGTACATAGGATTGATTTAATCACCAGAAATGTTATATTCCAAATGAGGTTGAATCAAGTGACAATAAAATGTATTGATGAGCCAGCTGGTGGCATGGTGGTTAAGGCAGCTGGATTCTACCTGGTCGACTGTATAGTTCTAGTTCTGACCTGGTGGCTTTAAA